CCAAAGAGAAAACCCATAGTCGGGCGTCTTTATGCCCCCCAGTATCATACATATGTTTTCGAATTTTACCAAAAAGTGGATTATTAGCTACATTCGTTTTCTCAAATTCCTATAGGAAATCTTCCCTGGCTCTCGAGAAAGATCAGAAATTTATGAGTTACACGGGCCGGGCAACACGGCAAACATTCCCCGCCCAAGCCAAAAAAGAAGAAGTCAGATTTTCTATTTACCCCCCGCGGGGGCCCCCCCCCCCCCCCCCCCAACTCGCTGAGACCCTACATCTCTCGCCTTGGACGTTTCACCTTTGAACTGCGTCGGTTTCCGTGGCTCTCAAACATCGGAAACTTTTGCCCGAAACCGGGTAACCGCCGCCCAAGAGTAGGACCATTCCACGGCTGCTGACATCTCTTTTTTTTTTTCCCTTGTCCTTTCGGTTAATGGTTCAGGCACCAGAGCTTACCATATTACTTGAACAAACAGCCGACACGACCTTACTGACGGCTCCGACGAACGCAAACTGCTTGTTGCTCTTGCTCTCCACCAAGTGATTCAATCTCGGGACCAACCTTTTTTTTCTTCCTTTCCTCCATTTGCCGTCGCTCTCTCTGCCTGTCCGGCCGCAACCCTGAAACAAATTCGCAGAACCAACACTTGCCACGAGAGATACGATCGCCGGCTGTTCCTTCTCGTCCATTACTCTCTTCGCTTGATTCACCAGGATAAGGCTTTGGTCCTGACAGTCGCCAATCTAGCCATGCCATATTTACGGAGTTTGTTCAACTGGTCTTTGTAGAACGTGTATACATTGCGCTCTTTCTCCCCTCTCCCTCTCACTCTTTTCTCTCGACAAAACAGGAACTGCACCGGACGCTGAATTTGAAAGGCGGATCAAGCGTCCTGATCGTTTGATCGAGTCGAAATCATGACAATGGAGGCCGCAGCAGCTTCGGAGAACCCCAAGACTCTGCCCACGCTTCCCTCCCCACCGTCAGTGCGCCAGTTGCCTCCCTCCGAACGACCGCCGTCTTTGCCTCTTCCCCGGACATACGACAGCCATTGGGGGCGACCATACCACCCTTACGAAAACACAGATCAAAGAGCGCCATCTTCCTACTCAGCCTCTCCTCGAGAAGGTTCTCATATGGCAGAGTCATACGGCAGGGCCGGTTGTAGCATAACTCCCGCCTCCAGAACGCCCAACGGTACGTTCAGGCCGGTTAATGGCGCCCACGAAGGCAACTCGAATCCCCCGCCTAATGCCTACCAACCTTCAAGCGACTTTCATAGCCGGCCTGGCAATTATGGCGCCGACAGCAGCCACCCGAATGGCGAACATCATGGCATGCAGATGATCTCGCCCGTCGATGGCATGCAACCACCACCTCCTACCCACCGGTCGTATCCTCCCAGCACGCCGATGGCTCAGAGTCACGGCCCCTACGACCAGGGTAATTACTACCTTAATCAAGCTAACTCCCAAGCCCAGTCGCAGGCTCAGAGGCAGCGTCGAACCACCCGCGCGCAGCAGGTAAGGCTTCATACTAGAAGCAGGACCTATATTCCCCACAACTTTTCTCCGAATTGCGACTGATAGTTCATTAATATACTAGGCTTGCGATCAATGCCGTGCGCGAAAAGCAAAATGTGATGAGGGTCGCCCATCATGTAGTTTGTGTAAAGAAAGCAACTCCGTCTGTGTCTACAAGGATGTTCCTCCCCATAAGTACGTCTAAGCTCGGAATTCGCAATATTGTACTGATAATTGATAAAAAGAAAACTAACTATATTGTCTTCCGTAGACATGAACGCTCGACTCAATTGGTTTTGGATCGCCTCAAGCAGCTGGACGATCGATTTAATGACATGCTAAAGAGCCAAGCAGAGCAAGACCTGAAATTAGAGGCTTTGATACGCGCTCAAAAAATGTCTCCATTGAGTCCGAAGCTTGAAAAGAAGCCCGAGGTAGCACACAAGACACCCACCCCTGCAGAACAGGAACGGACTTCACCCAAAGCTGCCAGTACAAGCGAAACCCCGACTGGAAAGCATATTAAAGACGAGCATATTGACCTACATATTGACGATGATGAACTTTCCATCCCAATCGAACATACTACCGCAGCCCACAAACTTCTCCTATGGCCATCCATCCAGAAACTACTACCTGAACGAATTGATGCGGACTATGTCATGGAATTAGAGGAAGAGCGAGGTCCTATCAGACCCTACGGACGGGGCGAAGGTGAAGATGGACACGATATTAGCGTTTA